TTTTCAAGATTTCTACTAACAAAAATCTTCAGACCCTAGAGTAAAGTTCGCATTTCAGTATTATTGGCAGTGGCTATACCTATGGGCCCAGCATAAATGAAGATAATGTCACCATTGCAATTCCTCACAACTCCACTAATTCCAGCCACCCTTGGATTACCCAAAAGAACTTCTATCAAAGTTCAGTTTGAATCTACCTTGGGAAGGTGCAACCCAAATACTTCGCGGACTGGTGATTCTACAGTGACGCTCAAATTTCAAATGGAAAAAATCCTTTTGAGTAGGGCTCTCTTGCTTGGGGAAGTACGTATATAGCATTCTCCAGCAGAAATACAAAACTAACGAAAAAGTATATATTGTGCTCCCCTGGAAATACAAAACAAATGGAAAAGTATATAGGCAGTTACTAGTGTTAATAAGAGTCAATATTGATTATATAAGGATATGGTAACTACGGGGCAGCGCATATTGTACTATGGGGGTAGGGGTCGTTAAGAAAATCTATGAAATATTTTCATAAAATAATTATAATAATAATATTTCAATTTGTTAGGATTTTTTTGAGTAAAACTTGTTGGATTTATGTGACCTTTAAAGACCTTATGAGTGCTTGTAAAATAAAATGATATAGTGGAACATGAACTCAGAGGGAGTGTGGTCCATCGTAGATCATACTAAGCAAACGATGCTTGCTGATACCGAACTGTGCTTGACAGTCTACGTCAGTTGGTTGGGAAAAAACCATGTTACCTGGGCATAGAATGCAAACCGATGAGGGTTCTAGTGGGTTATCCCTTGATAAGGTCGGAATATGTCCGGATGAGTGAGCTGAGGGACTTTGTGACCCTTGTGTGTGATGGTGGCTTACAGAGACAGGGCCAAAGCTTTATCCATGTACCATCACACATCATGCATATTGATAGACCGTTTTGGGAAAGCAATCCACCTTTTAGGGTGAAGCGTATGCATGTGTGAGAGATTCCCATATGCGTTATAGCAACTGTGGTCGTCTAGGTGACATTGGCTCGTCTCTAGGGAAGGACCTGAAATCCACAGACAGTGATTGTGACCACTTGGCTGATTTGCCAGACTTTAATGACCCACTAATAAGCCCCTGCTTGGACTGTGGGTCATGAAAAATACTAGGTCGGTCTGATAAAACAAGTGTAGTATGTGGCCATAATTGTTGATTCCTAAGCCATATGGATCTTGTTCCCATCATATTAGTTTAATGACGTTTGTTTTATGATAAATGTTATTTTAGAAATTATTATTTGAATTTTTGTAAATCTCTGGATATTTTATTTATAACATTTGAGCTTATAAAAATCAAGATATTGATTTTATAATATTTTAAATATTTAAATAATATTCTAAAATTATTTCTTATTTTTATATAAAAATTTTATGGGAGCCCATTGTGCACATGGGCCTACCATATTGTTGGAGATGGGGCCATGAAGGCCCCTCTAGGGTGGTACGTCCCACCCCTTTATTCTCTTTCCTTATTTTATGGGATATGACATGTGGTCATATGGTTGGAATATATTGACTAAATATTTACTTGATATATCTTTCAAAAAAAATTTAGAAAGATTGAGTAGACTTGTGATATTTTATGGATAAGGTTAATGCACATTCGAAATGGATTGCTCAAATCTCTTACCCACAAGTTACCCAAGATCAATGGTTAATACTCAATCTCACAAAAGTGGCAAGCCAAGGAAAGTTATCTTTTTTACAACTAGAAACTAGGTTGCTAAGGAATTCACCTAGGGTTTGAGATCCCATGCCATCAGATGATGACAACTCGGTGTGGAGTGTAATAAACCCGGTTGAGGTAATCTATGACAACTCTCTATTTTATTTCTTTCAATTTAATCTTTATATTCTCACGCATAAAGAGTGGCATCAAGGTTTTTTAAGATCTTGGATTTGTTAATTTTATTTTATGTGAAGTGAGAATTATTGTAGAAAGACTATTTATTGTGATCTTTGTCAAAAAAAAATTCTTCGACAAGATCGCATTAGTCTTTTTTTTCAAACTTTCATCATTCTTACCTAAATTCATATATCCACTAGTACGTCCACTCGACACACGGGATTCTAAATAACATAAATTTAAACTGAATATAGCACTTCTCAAATGGGAACATTTCATCTTGGCAAGGCGTATATCTAAATTTTTTCAGATGGTATTAGAAACCTTACGATGGTTTGAAATTTCATATTCAGCTTTAATCATAAGGTTTAGAATTAAAAAAAAAAGTGATAATCGAGTTAATCTATAGGGGTATGTTTGACAACCGGGCAATAACCTAATATTTCAGGATATTACAAGATTTATAATGATTTTAATTTTAGAATATTGGACGCGTGACTTGTTTGATTGAACAAAACCAAACTCTTTAAAATCTAAAAAACCATGAATCCTACAAAATTCTACTCTGAATTGAATTTTAAGGGGTTCAATTCCTTCTGTTAGTTTTTTTATTTCTTACTTGCGCAAACCCACGAAACTCTTCTCATCTTAATATATCTCTCTTGGCGAGCTCTGTGAGACCCATTCCACTCCTCCCAAACCGCCGCGTTTCTCTCTAATACTTTTTCCCATCTTCCCAAACCACCACATATCTCTCTGATTCTTTCCCCCATCTCTCTAAACAACCACGTCTCTCTCTAAAACAGAGGCTTGGGCCTTCCGTGAGCAGAGAGATATGAGTAGAGCATGAGAAAACAAAGGAAAGAGAAAGAGAGAAATTAATAGTGGATTATGAAGGTCAGAGACATGGAGCTTGCATCAGTTAGAGGGAGAGAAGGAAAGGACACAGAGCACAAGAGAGAGGTTGGCGAGAGAGAATAGTGGATCTGGGACACACAGCTGTAGGAGAGGGAAGTATGGAAAGACGAAACATAGAAAGAGATGAACACAGTTTTTTGGCTGTCTTGGTGGTTTTTGAGCTGGTTTTTTGGGATATTGGGTGGTTTGCATGGCAGAGAAAAAGGTGTTTACGGTGGCTTAGTATTGGAAAGAGGATGGGTTGTGTGGGTTGGGTACTAGTTTTTTTATAGACAAAGAGGTGGAGAGAGACAGAGAGAGATGAAACACAGGAGAGAATCCACTGGCTGCAAATCGAGCAATGGAGATGAAACACGGACGAAATCCACCCGTTGCAAATCGAGCGATGGGGATGAGCTGCAGAGAGAGAGAGAGAGAGAACCTGGAAATCTAGAGAGAGAGAGGTGTTTCTTTTCATCGACTGTTTTATCAAACCAGGGTAAAAGAAATATTTTTTAACATGTGTTCCAGCAAAGGGGGTTCAGAGATAAATTCGAAACCCTAGCCGGACTGCTGGTATCCATTCAATAGAATGGATATTAAAAATCAAGTTTCAGAAACAGCCATGATTGTTGTTGTTCATGCTTTAGTAATATTGTCATCGCTTGAGAAGCATTCAATTATAAAAATTCTGAAGTACTGATAAACAGCGACACACATAAAACATCCCGGAAGATGCTAAGCTACGTTCAACGGTTCAAATTGAATTTGAACTGATATGATAGTTAGGATTGTATTTCAGTAATATAATTTTAATATTTTTTATACAAATTTAAATAACATGAGGGCATTTGATCAATTTATTTTTTGTGATTTATTTTTTTGATATTTTTATTAGATTTTATTATTTTTTAAAAATAAAAGTTTCAAATTTCAAATCATTTAGATTTGTAAAAAAAAAGTATTAAAATTCAATTACAAAACACAATTGTGATTATTGGATCGGCTCAGATTCAATTTTGAACCGTTGGAGTTTACACTATTCCATCAACCCATGGATTGATGGTAACTTTTTCCTAAAATACATATTAAGATATTATGTAAGCTAGAAATATGGAAACACAACAAAGCTTTTATTCAAATTTCAAAATTTTTGAATATTTTAAATCCTATTTTATCAAACATATCTTAAACAGTTGAAAATATTATTAAAATATATGATCCATATGACTTATTATAAGATATATTTTTTTAAAGGACTTGAAATTTTCTCTCAAACATCCATACATCGTAAAATCCGAGATAATCAAATGAAAGGTTTTCCAACTTTGGAACTCTCCTCTACTAGACTTCTAAAGGACAACTTACATTTATAATGCAAGGTTACTTTCTGATGTAAACTTTTTCCTTCCATTTTGGGTACGTCTAGAGTCAATACAAGAAGATTTTAAAAGGAACTTTTTCCTTCCATTTTGGATACGTCTAGAGTCCATACAAGAAGATTTTAAAAGGAATTTTATACAGAGACACAATTTACCAAATATGATGGATTCAGTGTTACAAAATTTTTAAAAAAAAAATTGAACTTTGAACTTTATAACCACCAAATTTCACATTCATTAACTAAGATTAATTGTGACCACCTTGTATCAAAATAAATAATTCCATTGTATATTTTTTTATTTAAATAACTACATAAAAAAGGGAAAAGTAGATAAACTTGTTGGGAAAAACTACATGAATTCCGACCTCTAAACAACTCCCCTCTATATAAAAACAAGGAAAAGTATAAAAACTTGTATGGATATTTGGGAAAAACTACATGAATTCAAAGTGACTACCTTTGAACAACTCCCTCCCAAATCAAGAGCACCTGGCCAAAGCTCGAGGGACAACGAAATTCTCAAAACGTTTTTCAATAATCCACACCCATCCAACTCTCATTACAATTCGACGGGCCAAATCATTCTTTATTTAAGAAAGAAATTGACTAAAAAAGAAAAACAAATCATTGTTCCACAAATCATGTATAAAACATCCATCGATGCGAACAAGTTCAAACTAACGGTCCAAATATTTCCTTCAGGACTCCCGAAAACCGTGTCCCAAAATAAAACCCAATATACAGCCACAATCTAAAGAGAGAGACCATGTCCAAGATAATGAGCCACAATCTAAGAGAGAGAGAGGAGTGGGGTGGGGTTGGAGGGCAGACATCCAGGATAATGAACCACAATATAATATAGAGGGAGGGAAAGAGAAGACCATGTCCAGGACAATGTACCACAATCTAGCTAAAACATGTTAAGAAAGCTTACAGTTGCTACAGTTCCCTTAAGTTAAAATGAGGCCCAAGATACCCTCCAGGCCCAGTTAATACCTCTTCTCCAAAACGGAAATGAAACAAATTAAAAAACCAGACAACACAGGAAAATGCATGAGATAAAAGTGAGGAACCCAACATCGGCCATTACATACCGCAACTCACTCCTCACCCAATCCCCATAAAGCAACAAAGAAAACTAAAACGTCTCCAGCCCAAGGAGTGAGAGAGGTAGGTTCAAGCCCAAAATTCCGAAGATGCTTCATGGCTCAAACCCAGCATACCCAGGGAGAGGGAGAGGTTCCCCTCATACCTGCTTTCGCAGCTCTGATGCACCATGTGCAAAGTGGCACCGATCACCAAAGGTGCATGAACCCTTGGCAAAATTCTCGCAAAGCTTGGTCTTATAATTGTTTCCACCCCCACCCCCACCTCCACCTCCACCTCCACCTCCACCTCCACCTCCACCTCCACCTCCAAACCCCTTCGCCATAGCCCCAGCAGGAGCACCACCACCACCAGGTCCTCCAACACTAGCAATCAACTCTCTAACCATCACACTAGCCTGATTAATCTGATCAAAGCTCCCTTCCAATTCAATATTTCTAAGGTTAGGGTCACTCTCATGCTCCCTAATGGCAAGCTTAGCACCAGTAACCCGACATATGTGTTTCGAGTTAACGCCGCCTTTCCCAATAATGGCACCGGCAAGGGACGCATCTACACTGATCTTGGCATTGGCAGAGGCACCGAACCCTAGACCTGAGGGCTCAAACCTACGGCCCGTTGGGCTTGCTCCAAGGGGAGGTCGGTTGAGCTCACGTTCACTGTGAGCAAAATGGCATTTTTCACCAAAGCGACAACCTTCAGGGGTGTTGAAATTAGCACACATTCGTGACTTAATCGGGCCTAGGGCTTGTGGGTCAGGAGGCCCAGTGCCAAAGCGAGAGGGGGCGAGTGGGCCCCCTAGGGTTTGGCGAAGCTGGGCTACCACATTCACACCGGGTACATAGTGGAGGAAATGACACGACTCGCCGAAGGGGCAACCAGTTGTGCTGCAAAAAGTAACAGAGACGAATCGATGTTAACTCACATTTTATGGCAAAAACAATGTAGGATCAGTGGGTGCACATCTCTCTCTCTCTCTCTCTCTCTCTCTCTCTCTCTCTCTCTCTCTCAGTGTGTGTGTGCAGGCACGGGGAGGAAAGGGGGTAGAGGGGTGCGGAGTGGTTGGGTGGGCACAGCGGGGGAAAGGGGGTAGAGGGGTGCGGGGTGGTTGGGTGGGCACAGCCACATATGTGTGTTTAGACACTTGCAAATGTGGGTGTGTGTTTTACGAGGATGGGTGTGTCCTCAACATTAGAACCAACAAGATATCAACAAGGACTCAAATCAATCAGTTCAACAGAAAGCACAAAAAAGATATGGTGTCGTAAATGTGTAAGTGTTTGGAAAGGGAAGAACTAGGTTTCAGGGTTCCTACTTCCTAGCACTGACTGTTTACTGTCTATGCATTTTAACATTACATTTAGAAGACGAGAATTCCATGGATACAACGTCATAAAGACCACTTATGCCATTCATCGTTGTAAGATCCCAGAAATATCTAATGATTCAAATAAGAATAAAATATACTAGACACCAGAAATATTGGAGGACTACTAAATTTCATAACCATTACCATGCACACAAATAAGACACAAGAGATAACACAAAATTTGTTGCGTAAGAAACGTTTTCTTTATTCTTCTTCTTCTTCTTCTTCTTTTTAATTTAAAAAAAAAAGCAATACGGTGAGAGTTGCTGGAGGAATCATTTTGAGGCATGGCAATTGAATACATCTATTACCCATCAAAATGACGTGCTAGAAATTCCCCATTTGCAAAAATCTTTGATTGACCTTTAGGATTCCCAAGCGACAAAGATGCACTTCCATTACAAGATTTTACAGCAAATGAAACATCTGCCCTGACAAATATCTATTTTCAGCTTTCCTTAATTCATTATGTTTTTTCCTAAATATGCTAATTCTGGTTAACCTTATTGCAGGTTGGAACTTTAAAGATATATTTCAGACATGAATCATCCCACAAGGCAGCAACTTCAAACCTTTTGCTCCATTTTTTCTTTTTTCCATATGCAAAAGATCCTCAGGTCGATCATCACATATTCTCAATTTGCTCCATCCAATATGAACTGTTGACTTTTTTGAGACTCCTAAATTACATCCCAACACAATCCTTTATTAATTCAAAACAGAGATTAATTCCATTCAATAGCTTCATAAGATGATTAGGCTTTCAAACGCGCACAAATTTAATAGGCCATGTAGAAACCTTCTCTATGTTACATTTCTCAGAATAACTGTACAACATTACTCTTTTCCATTTTGAGTTCTTCTATAACATCAACATTTTGGCACGCCATTAGTTCTTTCACCAAAATAGTAAATGTGAATCCTCCACTGAAAGTTGGTACCCATAAAGTCAAGATATGAACAACACGGTATGATCAACTTAGGTGGTTGGGGGCAGCATAAAGAAGCACATCACATAATCACTCTGAAATACCGAAACATTCATTTGGCCATCCTCATTCCTCCACCTTAATTGAAATACTAAGCCCTCAAATCATAACACTTGTTCTAAATGGTAACCTAACTAGGCTGCAATGCCATCTCATGATTCACTGCTGTGAAACTTCAATCATTTGGATACTCAACAGTTTAGATCATGTTTCAATCTTATTTAGAGAGCTTGAAACCCACACATGGCTTTCTCAGTAAATTGATAGATGGTAAAAAGTCTGTTCTGGGCTTCACATGCTAGTGTATGACAAATTGACATAATCCCAAATAAACAATTGCAGCCAAGACAAATTGACCAAATAACAAGATCAACCAGCATAACCAAATAAATCGTGATTATAGCTAAATAGAAAGACTGCCTAAGTTTTGTTGAGAAAATAGTAAGCAAACCAGAGGTACGACCAAAATTACACCTACAAGATCCATGAGATATTGTTAGCATCTAAATTAACGATGACTAGTAAACAAAATACAATATGGGGAAATCTCAGTTTGATATTATCATGACAAGGTAAGATGGATGAAGGACAACCGTACTACAAAACAGTGAGACCCTAAAGTAATTCATGTCAATGGTAAGACACATAAACCCATGATGAGCAACAAGAATTTTGGCAGATTATACACGATTCAAAGTATCTGTATTTGCCAAAGTGCTCTAACAACTTACCTCTCGACTGCACAATCACCTCTTACAGACTAACATTGGATAATCTTAGTAGATCACAAGAAAGTAATGGGGCAAAAATGTCCTAGTTAGTCCCTAACACTTCAGCTTGGTGGTAGACGTATCAGGTTTGGAGGGGGAATCAAGTGCTCAAACCCTTGGAGTTTGTACCAAAAAAAGCCAAACCTGACTGAGCTTTTTCTTAAATTAATGTCCTAGTTACTCCATTGTATATCTCAGTACTTAGGAACTCACATCGGCCAAGGGCTACAGGACCAAAACCCCTAGATAAATTTTTAAAAATAAGAAATTTAAAAAAAAAAAAAAAAAAGAGAAAATAAGAAGGTCGTAAAAATGAAAATGAAATAAAACCAACAACTACCTTAGAAAGTCCAAATATCTTTAAAGACGTTAGAAAAAATAGATTTAAAAATAACAACTGATTTATAATTGGGGGCATTTTAAAAGATCCAAAAAAGAGGGGATATATAAAAACAGGGATTACAACCAAAACACTCACCAATGTTTGCCAAAGACATCCAAATCATATACAAAATTTATAGAACAATCCCAAATTTTTCACAATTTTTTGAATTTTTTGAATTTTTTGAAATTTTCTTACATACCCCAAGTTGTACACACAACATGGGTTAGTCGGCCTCGCCCATAGGGCGACTCCCACATAGTGGCATATCTAATGCATGCAAACAAACTAGTAAAGAAGAACTGGACCATGGCATAGATGAACTGAATCAATATTACTGGTGTTATTAAGCCTAAACAACATTAAAATACTATAAATAATATAGCAAAAATCAAGCTCAGGTGCATTCACAATGGCCATTGTGCGCAACTAAGTTTCTTACCATTTTTTATAATTTGCTATATCATACTATCATAGACCAAAACGTCGGCTAAATACGGAGTTTCCAATTTATTATAACATTTATCATGGGTTTTTCTTTGAAAGTGTATAACATTTATCATGGGTTGGACAGGCATAACAGACCAATCTCTAAATGTATAAATTTCTGAAGGAAAATGGATCTGACATTCACCAGGTGGACAATGGTACGTATAAGAGGTTGAAGGTAGGTCCATAGCAAGGGCAACACATGAAAGCAAACATGTATTTATGAAGACCCACGAATCCCCAACCAGCTTTCCTTTTTTTCATGACAATAATCACTGCCAACATTTTCTATTTATGCAGCACCCTTCAGCACAGTAAACCAGAGGGGAAGGATTGCAACCTTATACTGTAGAAAAAGGCATGTCTCAAAAATCCATTTAAAAAGGTTGTTCTGATGCTAGAAAACCCTCTAATTGATCATCTCGACCTCTAGATGTACAGATGAGGGGACGAAAAAAGATTTTAAAGTCCCATAAAGCGCACATCTAGTAAATATCGCGATCAACCATTCTCAAGATTTTTATGTCTGTAGGTCTGCTCGATCTATATACCATTTTTTGAGTTTTAAATTTCATATTTAGATGTGAAGTAGATTTTTCAGGTAATCACTGAAATTTCTGACACCAAAGTTACATCTTTCGATGAACTTTAGAGGTGTGCCTTACTTGGAATGTTTATGGTTATTACCTATACAAATCACACCCCAGTTTTTAAGGTGATGTGTTCTATATTGTGCTTAATTAAAATTCAAATTCACATCAAATTACAAGGCTCAAATTCATTTCTAATTTTCCACTATAAAATTTGTCTCAAGTGCAACTTTGAAACAAATCATATGTTATGCTCTGGATGTAGTGCTTCACATGACTAGAACACAAATCAGAAACAAATGAAGGCATGGAAAAAGGAGAAGAAAAAAGTGGGGAAAAGTTTAACACCTTTCACTGAGTGGACAAACGGTATGTCCAAGACGTGAAAGATAGGTTAGTAAAAGGGTAACAAACAAAGGCAACCATGTATTTATAAAGACCCGATGAGGAATGGGGTTGAGGTCAAGGTGGTAGCACCAATTGTAACTCAGCTACCAGTCTCAGTTTCCATTCCTCCAGTGCTAATCCTTCTTGAAAACTACTAACACTTAACGTTCAAAAAAACGAAAATAACTACCAATGGTTTTTTGAACAATAATCACTACCAATTTTTTTCATCTAGGCAGCACTCAGCAGAGCAATACAGGGTTTATCCGAAGTTAAAATTCAAATTCACAAAATTTAATGGGCAAATTCCTTTTTTTAATTTCCACCAGAAAATTCGTCTCGCTTCCAACTTTGAGCCATATGCTAATGGCATGCTCTGGACGTAATGGTTCACATGACTAGAACACGAATCGAAAGCAAAGGAAGGTATAGAGAGTGAATATGAGAAAAATGGTGAATAAGACAACATAGGGAAGGTTATACGAATGATGAAGTTGAAGAAAAGCACAAAAAAATATGAAACATAAAATAAAAATAGAATTGAGAAATAGAAAAAAAAAAAGAAGAAATTATTCTTGGTTTCCTTTTGTAAATAAATTTACTTCTTTTTTTTTGAGAATGTTAAAATTTTATGTTTGTTAAACCTTTTTTTCCTTTTTTTTTTGAAGAAAAAATGGGAGTTAAAAAAATACTCAAGAAGTAAATAAATTCACGTCATAAAGGATAACTTTCCTCGCAAGAATATCTCTTCAGCACTTGTTTTGGGGGGAGGGGGCAATCCCTTATTTGAATTGCTTCCCTGATTTGGGGCAAGGTTCACGTATATCAACAGGCATACGGAGGAAGAATGACACATACAGGAGCAGAAGTTATTTCTAAGCAATCACTGGGAGTAGATATAAGACTTTGAG